TCTGCGCTTCAAACATAGGAAGAATTAGCCATGAAAGAAGCTGCCTGAAGAAAACCTTGAGACCATATTAAGCTAAATTGACCGTCTGCATAGACGAAAAGAACCATATATATATTGGCAAGTTTGTATATGAAAAAAATATCTGTTGCTCGTTTTCTTCATTGAAATGTCATTGTAAGACATACTGATTTCATGTATCATTCTGCGATTACAGAAACCTTTCCCACTCTATCCTGGTGAGTGGCTGAAAGCTGCTCCTGATTTTGCTCGGGGGTTAACAAACTATAGCGCAGCGGTCAAAAGCCTACCAGTTGTCCCTGAAAACCATGGGATCAGACTACGGGCCATTTTGGATCATGACGACAGTGGGACTTTCAGAAATGCAGGAGACATATGGCAGCTGAAAGGCCCCATGACCTACAAACCAAGACCTGAAGTGGTATGTTGGTACTTGTGTGATATTACGTTCTTGTAAATGTCCATGAATATTGGGTCTTATGTTCAGGTTTCGCTATTCATGGTCCGAGATGAAAGTATTGAAGTGAAGGTACTGCTGAAAATATTTTGCTGAAGAAGGCAAAGTGGTGGTGAGGGAAACCAGATAAAATCAAACGTTCTGTGACCATGCTCGAAAAACAGAAGATGGAAAGGGTGGGGGAGGGGGGGAGATTGTTAGTTTGATGAGTGTAGTTCTAATAAAAACCCATTCAGGTCATTATTCAAGTGGCACAATATATCAATGTTTATGGCACACTTTTGGTAAGTTGATTTATATCAATTTTCTTACATTTTTCAGGCTATTGAGGGGATTGATGCCCCCAAAATCATTAAAAAGGGACAAGTTTTGAAGCTGAAAGCTACCCAAGGAACGATTGATGCGTCTGGAAAGTAAGTGACATTCCTGAATACTGACAGACCCTTTCGGTCTGCTTGTTACTAAAGTAAGATCATTTTTTGGTTTTGAATTATCTTTGTCAAGGGATGCTGCTGTTTATTAATGCATTCCACGATATGATGAATTTGACTGCCATTTAAAATATACGCTGATGGTACATCCTATTGCTGTAAGAAAGGATCTGATTTAGTCTTCAGAAAACATACCCAGGCATCTCAACTATTTTCTGGACTCGAACCGGCAAAGTTGCGAAGTGTAAACATATGAAAGCAAGATGTACCTGTCAAAAACATTGAAAAAAAAAAAGAAATGAATGAATAAAAAAAAGCAAAAATCTCATCAGGGATGAAAATAGATTTGGAAACTCACTAGAATGTTTCAAAGAATTCTACGAATTCTACGAAGACCATCGAGTGATCACTTTTAAAGAGTGTGAAATGAAATCATTAATAAAAGAATGGATATGGACCAAAAGTTCGGGTAACATAGGGCCATTTGAATTATATTTTTATCTGGTGAGTATATTACGGCACTCGCAACTGCATAAGATCATATGAGCGCAGGAGACACATTAACTTAAGCATTTTCAGTTTGGTTGGAATTAATTTTGAATTTTGCCCAGGTGACTCTTATTGATATTAGGACCACCAAGGGATCTTTAACATAGGCAACTTGCACACGAGACCTCCAAGATTTTTTTCATCCTAATCCAAGAAGGCTAGTTGATGTGCTATGTTTGTTTTAATGTGTGAAAGGTCTTTTGATTTAAAGGTGTGTGTTTGTACAATATATGTGTCACGACACGGTGGAATCTGGCGCTCGTCAATTTTTGGGCATATGGAGTTATTGGTATCATCTGAAAGCTGATGAATTTGCTTTACTTCCTATAAAATAAATATCCATTTATCTTGAATAGAACTTAAGATATCTGCGATTGAATGAAGTGAGATCGCCTGATTTCAGTCGTGAAATCAGAGAGAAAATGGCTGCCAAAATTTAGTAACTTTGATTGCTAAAGAGTCTTTGAAAGCTGAACAATGACATATTTTGTGCCTTTAATCAACATTTTTTAGTAAAATCACTTGGAAATATGTTTTTATATGGACGTAAAAGAGGTTAAGCCTAAAAATAAAAAGTGGATGAAAATTTCCAAACTGGCGGAAAAATGGCTTTTTTTCCGATTTTGTTATTTTGACTGATCATTTCACCATGCTGCCTCACATATATCTCTGTGTCTTCCCATTTCAAAGTGTTATTTACAATGGTTTTAGTCTTTGTTCAGACAAGGAATCAGTTTAAAAGAGGAAGAGGTTAGCAGGCAAAAGACACAGAGAACTGTTTGGATACAAAGAAGTTTATTGAATAGGAATGAGTGTTATCTTGATAATGTTTCATTGACTGGTTTATTTCACCAGGCAGAGAGTGACAGGAGAGGAGTGGCTTGTCAAGGAGCCAGGAGCTTACCTACCAGGTGTTTTTGAAGAGGTAATGATGTTGTACCAATTTCCTATTTGACACTTTGCAGTTACTCAGCCAGCAGTACAAAATACCCCATTGGTCACCCAGCCAGGAGAGTGACTACGGACTTCTCGGGCCTGGTGCAGAAGTGTGTCAGGTGACTTGAACGGACAATTTTCACCGGCGCATTATTTCGCCAAGTGACTGCAAAGTGTTAATATACAAAATTTATTTGAGTTTCCCTTTTGTAGATTACACAAAGGTTGTAACATGCAGCCTTTTTTTTTGTGATAAGAAATTACATTACGGTTGCTGTTTAGGCTGACATTTATAAAAACAGAAATTTTTAAACATGCTCTTAATTTGGGTTTTTTGGGTGGGGGTTGTTTGTTTATAAAATTTATTTTATTCATTAACACTTTGCGGTCACTCGCCACAATAATGTGATGGTGACAATTATCTGCTCCGGTCACTTGACGTAGTTCTGTGACAGGCTCGAGAAGTCCATTGCAGTCACTCTTCTGGCTGGGTGACCAGATAGGATATTTTGTACTGCTGACTATGCGACAGTACAGTGTTAATGAGAGCTATAGCTTGAAAATTATTTTGGGCTAATATACTGATATTGAATATTGTAATGTAATACATGTGTAAGCTGAAAAGGGGATCAAAATTTGTTTGTCACACTCTGAACAGAATTTCTCACATAAAAAAAAATTGATGATGAATCATAGTTGGTTAAGATGGAATTTGTGAAAGAAAATTGATGCACAAAATTTATTTGTTCTAACTACCACGTTTGTCTCTTTCATTCCTAACTGATTAATAGGGATTTATTTCTGGATCCTTGATAAATGGATATAGTTCTGATTGAATCTTAGGATTTATCAAAGAGTTTTGAACTCCATGTTGCTCAGTTCAGAATGTAGAAAATAAATGTGAAAGTAAAAATATATGAGCTTTGTTTATCAGTTCTGTTTCATGTAAGGAATGTCCTTTGATGTTTTTTTGCTACTTTTGTATCCTCAGCCTGTTATTTTGGACAAAGTGGTTACCTTAACCCATGATACAGCATTACACTTGAAAGCAACCCAAAACATTGTTGACCTGCTTGGTAAGCCCAGGTATGTATTGAGATGTTAAAAATTGCAGAAAAGAGAAATTCCTAAGAACTATTGTTAACAGTCTGCCTGTTAATCAATATTTAGCTTGTGTCAGTTGTGTCCCATAGGGACAATAAAATGTTATCTCATCTCATCTCAGTCTTCAGTCTCATCTGCATTTTACACATGACTGGTGCGTGGTCACTATCACAGTCTGCTCCTGGTAGTGATTTAGACGATTTAATTGCATTTCTAAAACGTTTCTGAATAAGTATGAAGTCTATTTGATTTCTATTTCTATCACCAGGACTCTTCCAAGTGTATCGTCTTCTTGGGTGATTTTCTTACCAGGTGTTTGATATCATAAAACTATTTTCTCTTCACCATTCTATCAGTCATTCCCCACATTCATTCTCTTTACCCAGTCCCCATGGCACAACTATTTCTTCTTCTATACGTGTACTTCCTACTTTGGCATTAAAGTCCTCCGTGACTACCTTTACATCTTGTGATTTTAACTGTTTCATTGCCTTTTCAAGGTCTTCATAAAAAGTATCAATTTCCTTGTTGTCGTGCTCTGACGTTGGTGCATATATTTGGATGACACCTATGTCAAACGGTTTTCCTTCTAATTTAGCCACAATGACTCTATCTGACACTCCCCAAAAACCTTTGATGCTCTTTGCTGTTGCTTCATCAAATATAATTCCGACTCCTCTTTCATGGGTTTTTCCTCCTGAGTATACAATTGTTTTTTATCCTCTTTTAATCAAGCCTGCCCCCTCCCATCTAACTTCTGAAAGGCTTAACATATTTAGCTTGATCCTATCCATTTCCTGCTCTATATTTTCTAATTTGCCTTTCTGGTGCATTGTTCTCACTTTCCATGTGGCTATGTTAAGTTGTCTATTTTTGCATCCAGTAGCTGCATGACGATCGGGCGCTACCTGCTGCCTCTGGCGGTCCCTACCGAGCGTGGAGTTCGGAGCTGGATCATGAACCCCCTTAACGCTGTTATCTAAGAATGAAAGTTCTTTTCCATGATTGTTCTTGGGAGATTACAGCAGTGGTTTCTCGTTGCCTACTGCCGGTTTGTGTACAGTTATCTCTGCCAGCCTTTGTCTTCCACTTACAACCCACAAGGCAGTGGGGGCTTTGGTAGGATTTATGGCACCTCCTGTTGCCAAGATGATCCCTTTTTCGAGTGTGTGAGGTATTTATTGAAGTACCCTTGCCACCAGGGTTCTCGTCTACTCTTCACGACCATCTCCCATTTGGTTCGCGACTGCTTAGCAGCTAACCTCCATATCTGGAAGCCTTTCCCCTATCCACCCCATGCGGATGCACTGGGTTGGGTATGAGGACCCAATACTAAATCTTAGTACTTCTTATTGCATAAGGTGTCCACATCTGGAGAACAGATGTATTGTTTTACTTTCCTTCTTTTCTTGAGAGACTGGAGATTCAGAATTTTAAAATCTTTGAGCATGTGGTTAAAGGGTGTCACTGGTAGGTCGTACTTCTTTACCTCTGTTATTTTTGTCTGTCTCTCTTTCTTTTTCCCCAGCACTAAATGACCATTATTGTATCCATGTGCTTCTCTTTACCTAAGCTAACGAACAATTAAATCTCTGCTGAATCTGATCTGTGATAACGTAGCCCTTTCTTATGTGCAGGAAAACAGGAGATGAGTGGTTACTGACAAGTGCCTCCTCACCAGAGTACTCCACCCAGATTGGTGTGGTATGTAACATCAGTTTTATTCTGTGATTATAGTGCACTGATATGAAAAAAGCGTACAAGGACATGTACTTGGTTTTAGCTACAGAAAAGACATTATTGGAGAACTTGTAAATATATCTGAAAGTGTTTTGGTGGTTTTACATATGAATTTAAGTTTTTTTTAGGGTTCTCAGAACTTCTGGGCATGAAATAAAAGAATACGTGTGGGGGATCTGGGAAAACTGTTTGGAAGTCACTGTGCTTATGTGAGAATTGGGCCGTCTCAAAGGTCATTTTGGGCTATCCTATGGAAATTAAGATTTTTGCAAAAATTTGTTCTTCAACATCCTAACTTTCATCCCTGAAAATATCAAACAATCCTTTGGGCTGGCAAAATGTTAGGTTTACTTGTTTTCAGCATCACCCCCCCCCCCCCCCCCCCTGCCGATGTAATAATCTAGTTTGATTGGTAATGAGCCTACCGGTACCAGGACAGTTTAATTGCGCTGGGCAGTGTGAGCGGTCTTTAGTCTGCACCAACTGATCGGTGCCTTTTCAAATTTTTCAAAACATAAAGTTTCATAGGATAAGCATATCACAACAGTAATCAGTAACGCAATGACGAAGCAATGCAACCCTACTACCCCTCCTCTCCCGCCAAGGGTGCAGTCCTTTCCGAAGAGGTGTCGGGCGGCCAATTGTGTAATGCACAACTCTTTCTCTCGCCTGCTCCACACAAGCCTAGCTAGGCCTAGGGACTAGGCAAGCGTGTTGAGCAACACACTAAAAATACAGTCGAACCTGCCATGACGACCACCTTTATAAGACGGCCACCTGTACAAACAGCCACTTTCCTTTTCCCCCCTTGTGTTTTTTCTATATATAATTTAACTATGTCATACGGGCACCTTTCCAACGCGGCTGCTGCCACCCTATTATATCAACCCACGGCCCAATCTACCTGCCTAAGACGGCCAGACCTTGTCAAAAATTAAGCATTTTCCTCTGACTTTGTGGACGAGTCGTCATAATTCATTCTCTTGTCGTTGTTGTCAGTCCCTCCAATGGATGAAACAGTCATGTTGCTTAGGTCACTCCCTATGTTTACCCAAGTTGGACAATGGATGATAATAAATTTTCCGCTGCTGGTAAGGGAAGCGTGTGATCTGTCATGACCTATAAGGCCCGTCCACAACTCAGTCCGTAAACCAAGTTTATAACAATGAAAGTCGACACAAAGTCACGACAGAAGAGTTGCTCGTTCACCGAGTGGTGGTGACCCATTTATTTGTTTTACTATGACACTTGGCCTTCCTGTTCTGATACTTTTCATTTTGTTTTGACCTTTTCCGTAACCATGATCTAAAAATAAATATAAAACGAACTACAAAAAGTCCCATAAAAATGTCCTATCCTCTCACCCCTTTCTAAAGAAATAAAACAACAACAACACATTTTAATCAGCCCAAGGGCAGTCCTAAGCATACAACCACCTCCAGTTGGGACCTCAGAAATAAATAGTTTGTTTTCTTCATTTTGATCAGTCCTGCCTAAGACGGCCACCTGTCTTATACGGCCACTTTTCTTCTTGACAATGTGTGGCCGTCTTACACAGGATCGACTGTAGCACAGCTGACTGCTTTTGTAGAGGGGGAAAGGTGATATTTAACTGACTTACCCTTTTTTTATTTGAAAAAAAAAAATATTATTTTTATTTTGTATCAAGTACACCTCAAAGGAAATTGACTTTAGACCTCTATGGTGGCATATTTTGTTCAAATATTCCGTGTTTGTGTTCACGCTTGGCATAATTTTCTTACAAAGATAAAGAAGAAGAAAAAAGGGACCGCTGGCACAGTTCGGCGGATGCGGGGTTTCGAGTCTTCTGTGTTCGACCTATCCATGCTGTACTGTATACATGAACACGTCCAGATTCTAACCCATAACTTATCTTTTTTATCATTTACTGTCCCTAGTTAGCTCGTTAAATTACATGTCTTTGAGTCATTCTTCTACAGGAAGTAGTGGCCACCTTGAAGATAACTGTGGTGAAGAAAGGCCAGTATGCTGTTGTCTTGAACCCAGTGGACAAGGATGGAAAACCTCAACTGGGAAAACGAGTTCTCAAGGTTGGGCTGTGCAGATTTTTTTTGCATCCAGGTAAAGTTTTAGAAAGATTTACTAATTTAACCTATGACACACTGCTTTTATCAATCTCTGATATAAGCAGAGTGATACTGCCCCAAAGCGGAATAACAGAATTCAAATTAAAGAAAGAAATGCACTGTTATGTTTCTTCAATTGTCTGGACAACAGTTTGTTTTTGGTTGTTTTAAAGTTGGTTGTTTTTGTTTTGTTTTTTGTAAGTACTTTATGGCGCTCGCATCTACATCAGGTCATATGAGCGCGCGGGACACACCGAACATTTTCAGCTGGTAAAAAATTTTGAATTTTGCTCGGGTTACAACCGAAGCCTACTCTTATCAATTTTAGACCACCTAGGGATCTTTAACATGGGCAACTTGCACACAGGACGTAGAGATTTTTAGCCCTTGTCCGAGAAGGCTAGGTGTAGATCTTACCTACCATAAGATCAGGGGTGTGGCTGAAAGACAGCAGTGAGAAGGGGCCAAGGAGAAGCAGTAGAAAGGCTGCAGAAAGAGACAGGAGCTGGCAAAGGAGGTGGTTGGG